GTTTTTGACCTTGTAATAAATAAGCGATCCTTCGGCAAAAACTTGAATATAAAATCCAAACCATCTGCTAATACAAGATCTAAAAACTATCTTATGCTCATATAGTAGGTCATTGTATAATATGATATTTTATATTAATAAATATTATATATATAAATAGCAATTTTAAAATTAACATTCGTCATAAATTAAAAAGCAATATATTTAAAATAAATATGATAAAAACTTTATTTTTTTACATTTTATTTTATTTAATAAAAAAATGATTATTTAAATAAAATAACTTATATAAAAATTTAGATATATGCTATTCAATATGATTTAAATAAATAATTTATAATAATTATATTTAAATTATTTGATGAACTTATTGGCAAAATAATCTGCGACAACAAAAACAAATATACGATTTCAATACTATTATTTATAAACCATAAATATTTTTAATTACTTTATATTTTTAATATAATAATTTTTTGTTATTTAATTGATAGGGCAGACAAATAACAATTAAATAGATAATTTGGTTTAAAATAATAATAATAATATGACATATTTTATATATAATTAACAGTTTAAAATATTAACATTTGATTTTTTAAAAATAGCTAAATATCACATTTACTGCAATTTAAAGTATAATTTCAAATTTAAATACCTATTGGATTTTATTTGTCGAAATTTGATTCTAAAAAGTGAAAAATTAAACAACAACACTTAAAACCTATCTAAAATATTAACAAACTATATATAAATTATTTCACGTGTATTGTACTTATATAACTATACTGTATATACTGTATATATTGTATATACTTTATACTTGTATGTGTGTATGTGTGTATGTGTGTATGTGTGTATGTGTGTATGTGTGTATGTGTGTATGTGTGTATGTGTGTATGTGTGTATGTGTGTATGTGTGTATGTGTGTATGTGTGTATGTGTGTATGTGTGTATGTGTGTATGTGTGTATGTGTGTGTGTATGTGTGTATGTGTGTATGTGTGTATGTGTGTATGTGTGTATGTGTGTATGTGTGTATGTGTGTATGTGTGTATGTGTGTATGTGTGTATGTGTGTATGTGTGTATGTGTGTATGTGTGTATGTGTGTATGTGTGTATGTGTGTATGTGTGTATGTGTGTATGTGTGTATGTGTGTATGTGTGTATGTGTGTATGTGTGTATGTGTGTATGTGTGTATGTGTGTATGTGTGTATGTGTGTATGTGTGTATGTGTGTATGTGTGTATGTGTGTATGTGTGTATGTGTGTATGTGTGTATGTGTGTATGTGTGTATGTGTGTATGTGTGTATGTGTGTATGTGTGTATGTGTGTATGTGTGTATGTGTGTATGTGTGTATGTGTGTATGTGTGTATGTGTGTATGTGTGTATGTGTGTATGTGTGTATGTGTGTATGTGTGTATGTGTGTATGTGTGTATGTGTGTATGTGTGTATGTGTGTATGTGTGTATGTGTGTATGTGTGTATGTGTGTATGTGTGTATGTGTGTATGTGTGTATGTGTGTATGTGTGTATGTGTGTATGTGTGTATGTGTGTATGTGTGTATGTGTGTATGTGTGTATGTGTGTATGTGTGTATGTGTGTATGTGTGTATGTGTGTATGTGTGTATGTGTGTATGTGTGTATGTGTGTATGTGTGTATGTGTGTATGTGTGTATGTGTGTATGTGTGTATGTGTGTATGTGCAAGTATATCAGCTGTCTTTTGTAGTGATGATCGTGTAATTATATATTTAATAGATTATAATTAAAAAATTGATTATTTTTTACCAGCAATTACTAATAGTATAAATTAATACTATTTTATATTGGTTTTTAGATAGAGATAGAAATAGAGATAAAAAAATAGAGATAGAGTAATGCGTTTTGAACTGTCAATTATTTTGTTAATTATAAAAATAATTCAATATGTCCATACAATGCATATGAAGTATAATTTAAATTTAAATATAATTTGATTAGAAACAAAAAATAAGAAATATTTACTTAAAATTATATTTTCTAAAATATTCACTTTTTATCAAAACTATACTTTTTTAACCAAAAATTATTTATAATTACTATTACTAATATAATATTTACTATTTTTTTATGTGTTTGTGTGTGATTTGACATGTTAAATTACATATTTATAATAATTTTCATTATTATAAGAAGAGAAGTGAGAAAGAGAGAGAGAGAAAAATTTTGAGAAAAAAGAATTCGAGAGTTTCAAATATCATTTTCAATTATGTTTTATAAATTTTATCTTACATTAATATTAAAATCATAATCAACATTATTAATTATTACTTATTTTTAAAATTAAAATTATATATAAAATAATTAGTATTTATAAAATAAGTATAAAGAACATTTTTGTATTATTTATCTAATCCTAAAAATAAATAAATTAATTCTGCTTATAATCTTTATATAAATACCGACTTTGCTGACATATAATAGCATGCAATTATATCTAAAGTGGTACCAAGGAGTGCAATTATATCTAGATATAGTTGCATAAATTTTTTTGTAATATTAAATAACATTATTACTACAATTGACGTATAGTTGCTGTCATATAAAAGATTTTTGAAGCTGTAAAATAAGGTTAAATTTTTTGTACAAAAATATTTAACAATTAGTATACATTTCCTCTGTCAATGTGTCAATGACAACAAAATGACTGAATGTTTAATTAATGTGTCATCAAGTGAAGACTCGGAGGTAAATCAAGTGAATGATATGTCAATGGTTATATCAGTGACCTCAAGAAGTAGTGAATTGAAACTGACATCTGTATCAACAAAAAAGTTAAAAAATTAAAGACTAGACGGTTATAATATACAATACAATTCAGATTGGAAGCAATTGAATGGCATAAAAACAATGGTAATAATCAATCAGAAACTGCAAAACAATATGGGACAACAACAAGACAAAACATTGCATTGTGGTTACAAAATGAGGATAAATATTGTAATTTATTTGACAACAAGTCCGTGAAAAGTGTGAAAACCCGCCGAAGACTTCTTAAACCACGTAGCGGTAAATTTCCAGAAATGGAGTCCAAAACTGTAAAATAGGGTAAAACAGTTGAAAATACATTTCCTATAGTTGTATCTTATTATGACAACTGAATGTTTAATTAATGTGTCATCAAAGTGAAAGACTCGGAGGTAAATCAAGTGAATTATATTATTAATGAATATATTAATGTTTTTTTTAAAAAAAAGCAATTAAGATATAGATTGAAAAAGTATTTGATTATATTCCTGATGTTAATCAATTAATTACATTTATATTTCGATTTAATAAAAATTTTTGAATTGCTATAATTATTTTTTTTTCTCAAATAAAACATGAAATCAAATTTAAATTTCAAAATAACAAATATAATAATATTACATAAATTTTTGCATACCTTAGTCATTAATTATATAGTATTAGTTAATTTTTAATATAATTATTGCATTTATTATTTTGCAACTAATATTTATGATAATAGTTAATGATTAATGAACATTCATATAATATTTTATAATATATTGATTTTTACTTAAATGTTAAGAAAAACATTGTTTTATGAATCATTATATACTTTATACACAATATCTTTTTTTTAAAAAAAACTATTACTATTAATTTTTATGTTTGAATAATTTTTCTATACTTAACATTTGCTAATATTTTTGTCTCTTAATGAATAAGAACAGTATATATAATATACTGTATTTAATAATAATAATAATAATAATTCTAAATTTATTATTATTATTATTATTATTATTATTTTTATTATTATTATTATTAGTTAAATTTATTTTAAACATACGATTAATTAAATTATATTTACTTGCAAAATCAATATTGCACATGTATCAGTAAAATAAATTATCATAATTAAAACATTAATATAATTTAGTAAGGTTAAATTTAAAAAACAATAATTAATATTAATTTAATCATTGTCTCCTTAAAATAAACTATTAATTTGTTTCAAAATTTTTAATAATGAAATTTTAATTAAATAATAATAATCATTAAATAAATAAATTTATTTATAGATAACATGCCAACAAAAAAAAATTTTACAGTTTAATAATATACATGTATAATATATATAAATATAAGATATAATTTTGATATAAATATAAGATATAATTTTGATATATATATATATATATATACTGTATATATATATATATATAAATTGCACTCAATTGAGTTTATTTAGCTATTAGTGTAACAAATTTAAATTACAGTATTTTTCCCCTAAATATTATTTTTCATAAATAATTTTATGATAACTTTTTTTATATAATTATAAAATCTAGTATTAGTATTTTTTTTAGTTGAATTAATCAAATAAGTTATATCAAAACAATAATAAAGTAGTTAATAAATTAGTTGCACATAACATTAAAATGAACTATTAATTTAAGTACTCTATATATATAAGTGTAAAATACATTTTAATTAAATTTTAATTTATGTATTAAACCTTGAATTTTGTTGCTACCAGAAAAAAACTTTATAAAAATAAATAAAAATTACTAAAATTTTATATAACATTATTATTTATTATAACATTAATAAACTGTATCTATATTTGGCTGTTTAGTAATATCCTTAAAAAATCAATTTAAAATATTTATAACTATATTAGTAACTGACAAACTAATTGAATATTAATAAATTAAAACATATTAATCATATTTTTTTAAAAAATATATATATATTTATATAATATTTTATTTTTAAATAAAATAATTTTTAGTAGTTAATATAATAAAATTAATATATATATATATTTGAATTTACAAAAATAATTTACATTTTATTATTAATTTAGTTTATTGAAATATTTAATTTAAAAAAAATAATTTTATAGATTTTACACAATTATTATTATTATTATCTTCAAGTGTGAGTATATTATAATCTTATCATTTAATTAATTAATTAAATTAATTATCATTTAAATTATTATCAATTTGTGATAACAGTATCCAAAACAAACCATATATCTAGTGCTACACTATGTGTGTGTATATAAAAACTTTTAAATTTAAAAAAATTATTTAATTAACTAAAAAAATTATAATTTTTGTTTTATATTTCATAAACAGTTGTCAATAACTGTTTAAAAAAATATTCAAAGAGAGAGAGAGAGAGAGAGAGAATATATTTTTTTCAGTTTAAATTAATAGTCAGTTAATAGTTAAGAGATGTCGTCCAACAACAACAACAAAAACGCCGACAACCCGAAGCTAACAGTGCTATTTGCACCGTCACCCGGTATGGGCCATATCGGTGCCTGTCATGGACTGGCCGATATCCTGAGCCGTATAGGTGGTCATCGATCGGTATTTGCATTGGACATCAGATTCAAGGGCCGACTGGCCAAACATGGCTACGAAGAAGCTATACTACAGTCGATAGGACCGGAACCCTATTCGTCGACCGAAGAGGATCTGATGCAACAGTTTTTCGACGAATACGGCGATCGACTGCTGAATATGACCGCCGTTGACGTACTTCGGGCTATCGGTCCGGTGTTTATGAAAATGTTTGACGACTGTAAACGATTGGAATCGAACTATCGGTCAGTAGTGGCCAGTGTCCGACCGGATCTGATAGTATGCGATACGCATATCGGTTCTCCGGCATTCATGAATGCGGGTCGGCCATGGATTTTGTTGAACTCCATGAGTCCGCTAGAGTTGTACAATGCCTGCAATGCACCCGACGTACTGCCGCCCGCCTGGTCAGGTAGGTTTTATACCATACCCTAATCAATAATAATAATTTTGTTACACCACTTATAATCTCATATTTACCTCTCTCTGTCTCTCTGTCTCTCTGTCTCTCTGTCTCTCTGTCTCTCTGTCTCTCTGTCTCTCTGTCTCTCTGTCTCTCTGTCTCTCTGTCTCTCTGTCTCTCTGTCTCTCTGTCTCTCTGTCTCTCTGTCTCTCTGTCTCTCTGTCTCTCTCTCTCTGTCTCTCTGTCTCTCTGTCTCTCTGTCTCTCTGTCTCTCTGTCTCTCTGTCTCTCTGTCTCTCTGTCTCTCTGTCTCTCTGTCTCTCTGTCTCTCTGTCTCTCTGTCTCTCTGTCTCTCTGTCTCTCTGTCTCTCTGTCTCTCTGTCTCTCTGTCTCTCTGTCTCTCTGTCTCTCTGTCTCTTCATAAACAATAGGCTACTCGTGTAGCGACCAAAACAAAGACAAATGGCTTGATTTTCGTCAACAACTCGAACCACTGTTTGCCGACTTTCATCAGACAGTCGACGACTGGTACTATCGGCAGACTGGCCAACATATTGCCGACTCTGGACTACAGCCAATGTCCAGACTACTGAACATTTATATGACACCCGACGAACTGGATTTCAAACATATTGCGGGCGTCAAGCCGTTAGACACCGACAATTGGATGCGTGTCGACGGCTTTGTGCGGACCACTAATGAATCGGTTGAACTGCCCGACTGGCTGTTGGCCAGACCGGGAAAGTTAATACTACTGTCGCTGGGATCGCTGGTTAGCGGTAATCTCGGACTAATGCGTTTCGTTACCGAAACACTCGGTAAATCTCCGCATAAGTTTATCGTCTCAACGGGTAAACATCACGACAAGTATACATTGCCCGAAAATATGTGGGGACAACCATTTCTACCGCAGACAGCAATCTGGCCACTAGTAGACTGTGTTGTCACACACGGCGGTAACAATTCGACTACCGAAGCATTTTATTTCGGTAAACCAGTACTATTGATACCCGCTTTTGCCGACCAGTTTGATAATGCACAGCGTGTTGTCGATACGGGTCTCGGCTATAGATTGGATCGACCAGTCAGTAGTCAGTCATTGTTGGATAGTGTCCACCGGTTGGCCACCGATACCGAACTCAGTGTTCGTATGAAACAAATTGGTGAACGAATTCGGCAGAGTTTTGATGCCAATAGTCGGGCAATTGTTGAACGCATTGAACATATTGTTGCCGATTATGAATTAAAAAAATAATTTTTTTTTTAAAAATATATAAATAAAATCATTATTTACTTTTAATTAATTTGATTTGTAAATTACAGTTATATTATTATTATTAGTTTTTTTATATATTAAAAAACTTATCTTTATATCATATTATTATTATTATGTTATTAACAATTACAACAAATTAATAATTTTAATTAATGTTTAATTTATTAAACAGATAATTATTAATTTTAAATTACATGATATTTATTAATATATATTTTAGCATAAAGTAAATCAATAAATAATAATTATTATAATATTGATAAATAATAAATACAAGATAAATGTTAATGTAATTTATCTAAATTTAAGTTAAAAATAAAATTATTGGATTCATCAAAATTGCAAAATTTTCAAACAAATGTAATGATATATAAATATTAAAATTAATAATAATCTTATAATAATAACATATGGTTTTTCCAAATAAACAATTTAATTAATAAATAAAATTACATTAATGAATTAATTTTTTAAAAAATAATATTATATATATATTTTTTAAAAAAAATATTAAATATTTTGCTTTGAGTAATTATTAGTAAAAAAAAACTAAATAATATATTATTATTAAAAAAAAATACAAAATGAATTCTAATCTAATTTATTATCAATTAATAGTAATTATATTATTATCGAAACAATTGCTAGTCATTAGTCAAGATTATGGTTAGAAATAAATAATTAATTAATTAATTAAAATTTATAATTTTTTTAACTTTTAATTTTTTTTTTTTTAAATCACAACAACAAATTGTTGGGGGATTATTAGATAACCAAAATAATGGTTCAAATGGTGAATCGGGATCTGATAATAATAATAATAATGATAATAATGAAAATTTAAATAATAATAATCAAGGTGATAATGATAATAGTGATAATAATGGTGGCCAGGGATATATTGGTAGAAGCCCTGGTAGCCAAGAGTCTAGAGGTAAATTTTTTATTAAAAAAAAATTAAATAAATTAAAAATAAAAACACTTACAGTAATATCTGTAAACAATTTTTGTTTATTTATTTTTTCATTCTACGATAATATTGATAATAATTGTAATGATAATATAGCTTATATAATCTTAATTGATATGTTTGAATGCGTTTAATTAATTAATTATTATTATTATTGCATATTAAATTAGGTAATGCTCCAGGTACAGGTGCTGATCTTGATAAACAATTAAGGGATGGTAGTAATGGCAACCCTGGTAATAGTGGTGGTGGTGGTGGCAAACCGGGTAATAGTGGTGGTAGACCGGGTAATAGTGGTGGACCACCGGGTAATAATGGTAATAGACCGGGTAATAGTGGTGGCCAACCGGGTAATAGTGGTAACAGACCGGGTAATAGTGGTGGCCAACCGGGTAATAGTGGTGGACCACCGGGTAATAGTGGTAACAGACCGGGTAATAGTGGTGGACCACCGGGTAATAGTGGTAACAGACCGGGTATTAGTGGTGGACCACCGGGTAATAATAGTAATAGTGATTGTGCTAAATGTATTGCCGGACGTATTCAAGGTCTACAGTTTAAAGATCCAAGACAAATTAGGAAAAAAGATATACATATGGAAAATCAATATAAAAATGCTATCAAACGTAATGATCAAGGTAACTTGTTATATAAATATATATATTCAATAATATATATATATATAAAGTTTATACGGATATATAATTGTTTTTTAGATTATATAAAAATAATTAATTTTGTTGTTGTTTTTTGTTTTTTTTTAAATTAAAAATTTTAGGTTTTGTAAAACATATTTGTCTTACGAATAGAAAGCCATGTATTAGTGAATATTGTAATGAAAATTATTGCAATGAATTCTATCAGAAATGTCTAAAAGGTTCCGATTTCTATCCGTTTACTAATCATAAACCTGGTCTCGATATTTGTTCAAAATTAGATCGAAGAAAATATCTAGAATTGCTTGATAAACCTTATCCATGAAATTTATTATTATTTTTTTTAATAAAATTATTTATTTTTTTAAATGTTGATATAAAAAACAAAAAAAAATTATATGTTTCAAGTAGTTTTGTTAAATATATTCTATTTAATTAAAAATTAATGTTAAAAATTTTTATTTTTAAATTTTTTCTACTGTACAAAAAATATAATTTTGTTTAATAAATATATAAGTTTCTTATTTATGAATTATTTTATAATCTATTGTCACAAAATATTTTTTGAGTTTATTGACATAAATATAAATCACTTAAAAATACTTTTATAGTTATTTAGTAATTTTTAGTATATGATAAGCAATTTTTTTTAAATAATTAATATTATAACAAAAAAAGGCTAATAAACTTTTAAATTATTTTATTAATTTAATTTATTATTATTATATTGTTGAGATCATTGTATTTTAATTAATTATTATTTTTTTGATTACATAGTAAATGTAAATCTAAAATTACTAGACATAAAAATTTCAATTATAGAAAAAATTATTAGTTTATTAACTTAATCAACTTAATTTATTGTTATTTTTGAAATTTATTGAAAATCTGAAATATATTTATTGTATTATTACAATATATAACTTATAAAATTTATAAAGAATATAAAGAGCTTGGTGTTTTAACAATATTATTATCAGTTTATATATTAACAAAAATTTATATATAAATATATTATTGTTAACTAAAAATCAATAATAATAACAACTTGTCTCATATATAATGTTACGCTATATTGTATTGTTTGCTATTATCGTAATGTTTGTATTAGGTAATATATTTTTATAAAAAAAATAATTATTTTATTATAATTAAAATTATTTTTAAAAAAATAAATAAAATCTATATAAATATTCTAATTATCTATTAATAAGATATAGCTTAATTTTTTTTTTTTAAATAAATTATTATTATTATTTCAAGGTCAAGATGGTGATGATGTTGGAGATGATGATTTAGCACCTGAGAGATAATGTCTTAGTGAAAATTGTTTACAAAGTTTAATATAGAAAATATAAATTATTAAAAAAAAGAAAAAAGTAAAAAAAAAATAAATATTATAAAATTATTATGGCTTAGAATGTAATTTATTTAAAAAAATAAAATAAATTATAATGAAATTAAAAATATAATATTTAAAAAAATATATATTTTTGTAATTTTATTTTTTATATATATAATTAATTTCAATAAAAAAATTTATTTAATACAATGTCTAACATAATTTTTATGAATTTATTTTTTTTATTAAAAAAAATTGGGTTAACATATTTAATCAATATGATAATTAAATAAAATAATTATTATCTAATATTGCTTGTTGTTAGTGTTGTTGGCATTTATTAATTGGGCTTAATTTTAGCCCCTAAATCTAAAACGTCTTCCACCTTCACGACGTCTACAACCACCTCCTCTACCCCTACCCCGGGGTAATAGTGGTATCAGACCGGGTAATAGTGGTGGACCACCGGGTTATATTAGTGGACCACCGGGTAATAGTGGTAGCAAACCGGGTAATAATAGTAATAGTGATTGTGCTAAATGTATTGCCGGTCGTATTCAAGGTCTACAGTTTAAAGATCCAAGACAAATTAGGAAAAAAGATATACATATGGATAATCAATATAAAAATGCTATCAAACATAATGATCAAGGTAACTTGTTATATAAATATATACCTATATATATATATATATTTAATATTATAAATAAAGTTTATACGGAATATATAATTGTTTTTAGATTATAATAATAAAAATAATTAATTTTTTGTATATTTTTTTAAATTATAAATTTAGGTTTTTTAAAACATATTTCTCTCTCGAATAGAAAGCCATGTATTAGTGATTATTGTAATGAAAATTATTGCAATGAATTCTATCAGAAATGTCTAAAAGGTTCCGATTTCTATCCGTTTACTAATCATAAACCTGGTCTCGATATTTGTTCAAAATTAGATCGAAGAAAATATCTAGAATTGCTTGATAAACCTTATCCATGAAAATATTATTTTTTTAATAAATATATAAATTTTTTATTTATGAATTATTTTATAATCTATTGTTACAAAATATTTTTTGAGTTTATTGACATAAATATAAATATAAATCACTTAAAAAAATTTTTGTAGTTATTTAGCAACTTTTAGTATATGATAAGCACTTTTTTAAATTTTTTTAATATTATAATAAAAAGGCTAATAGACTTTTAAATTTCTATTAATTTATTATTATTATATTTTTGAGATCATTGTATTTTAATTAATTATTTTTTTTTGATTACATAGTAAATGTAAATCTAAAATTACTACACATAAATATTTTCATTATAGAAAAAATAATTAGTTTATTAACTTAATCAATAATTTATTGTATTACAATATATAACTAAAATTAATAAAGTATATAAAGAGCTTGGTGTTTTAACAATATTTTTGTATCAATTTCTATATTTTAACAAAAATTTAAAATATATTTTTTATTAACTAAAAATTAATAATAACAAGTTGTCTCATAAATAATGTTACGCTATATTGTATTGTTTGCTATGATCGTAATGGTTGTATCAGGTAATTTTTTTTTTAAATAATTATTTTATTAGTTAAAATTATTTAAAAAAAAACTAAAATCTATATAAATATTCTAATTATCTAATATAAGATAAAGGTTAATTTTTAAAAAAATATTATTATTATTATTTAAAGGTCAAAATGGTGATGGAGATAATGATGGTGGTGGTGGTTGCTGAATATTTGTTAATATAGAAAATACTATAAACAAAATAATAATTTTTTTAAAGTATAAAAATTTAATAATAAAAAAAAATATTATTGGTTACAATCTAATCTATTAAAATGAATTTTACAAAAAATAAATTATAAGAAAATTCAAATAAAATTTTAATAGTCTATTTTTGAAAAAAAAATAAATATTTTTGTAATTTTATTTCATTAATTATAATTATATTTAATTATATATATATATATAATTAATACCAATAAAAAAAAAGTTTATTTAATACAAAGTCCAACATAATTTTTATGAATTTATTTTATTTTAAAAAAATCAATATTTTGATAACTAATAAAATAATTTATTATATTGATTTGGTTGTTGGAATTAATTTTAGCCCCAAACCCTAACACGTCTTCCACCCCCACGACGCCATCCGCCACGACGTCTACCACCTCCACCCCGACCCCGTCCCCGACCCCCACCACCGCCTTTACCACACTTATTGTTTTGTTGGGGATTTATAAACGGATACGAACCCTGACCTCTCATACATTGCCAGTAAAATGATTGACAATACGGTTGATTACACCAAACACGAAAACATCGGCGACCAATATTGAAACAGATTCTCCATACGAGTACTATATATATATAGTTATCAAAAGATAAATTTAAAAGTATATTAATTAAAAAAAAAACATAATTACTGACCAAGATAAAAAACAAAAACAAAAAATTATAATACACAAATTTAATAACTAATTTTATATACTATTATATTATAATACAAAAAAAATAAATGCTTAATCTAAATAAGTGTAATAAAAAAAATAGTGTAACAGTGTATTTGAGCTAGATTATTAATATATTTTAATAAAACAATGGAAAAATAATCACTATCCTGATCAACCAACTGATCTAGAGTTTATAATACACAAAAAAAAATTAAATAACCATTTTTTTAATATAATAATTTTAAATTAAATATACTACTTAATTACAATTAAATATGTAACAGTCTATTTGAGCTAGATTATTAATATATTTTAATAAAACAATGAAAATAAAAATCACTATCCTAATCAACCACCTGATCTAGAGTTTATAATACACAAAAAAATTAAATAACCATTTTTTAATATAATAATTACAATTAAATATGTAACAGTCTATTTGAGCTAGATAAAATATATTATAATAAACTTTGACAGCTTTGACAGTGCATTTTTTTAAATAAAAAGTAATCAGAAATCACTTGTAAGTGATAACGCCTGGTATATACTCTGTAGTATAACTTACGTTTATAGTAGCGATGACGTCTGGTTATTGCAAATCTATAAATATTTTCAACAAAATTATTTTTCGGTGGTACATTACCACCGCCAGGTTGACCACCTGGTTTACCACCAGGTTTTCCTCCAGGTTTTCCACCGGGTTTGCCACCTGGTTTATAAAATAATTAATATAATTATTTTTTAAAAATTTATTATATCACATAATTTTCATCACATATATTCAGTTAACTACTTGTTTACTTTTGCACAAACGTGTTAGACTCGTTATCTATCTATCTATATATATATATATATACATTAGTCTATTTAGTGTTATCGTATTAGTGATACTATTTTTGTTTTATGCCGCACAAAAATCATCACTACCACAAGTGAGATTCGAACTCACAATTTTCTCTGTTTGAGTGTACGATTCCCACCCCTACCATCTAGCTACATGAGCTATTATATGTAACAGGTTATTATTTGTTTTACCGGGTTTGCCTCCTGGTCTTCCTCCTGGTTTGCCTCCTGGTCTGCCTCCTGGTGCTCCTGGTTTGCCTCCTGGTGCTCCTGGTTTGCCTCCTGGTGCTCCTGGTTTACCTCCTGGTGCTCCTGGTTTACCTCCTGGTGCTCCTGGTTTGCCTCCTGATGTCCCTGGTTTACCGCCTGGTGTTCCCGGTTTACCTCCTGGTGCTCCTGGTTTGCCTCCTGGTGTACCCGGTTTACCGCCTGGTGTCGCCGGTTTACCCCCTGGTGTACCCGGTTTACCGCCTGGTGTCGCCGGTTTACCCCCTGGTGTACCCGGTTTACCGCCTGGTGTCGCCGGTTTACCCCCTGGTGTACCCGGTTTACCGCCAGGGGTTGCCGGTTTACCCCCTGGTGTCCCTGGTTTGCCTCCTGGTGACCCCGGTTTTTGTCCATCTAAGACAAAACGATGTTATTATTTGAATTGAACATTAATTAATAATTAAAATATTAATAGTTTTAATTGATTTTATTCTATTTTTGTTTTAAATTTTATAATTATCTACTGTAATCTATTTTTATCTATTTAAATATAATTTTTATAATAATTAGTTTTATAAAATATTAACTAACCAGCATCAAATAATAAAATCGACAAAATAATAAACATTAATGAACAACATATTATAGTTAACTTCATTTGTTTGATTTTTGTGTGTTTTATTATATATTGTTTTAATGTTTTTATAAAAAAAAACTAAATTTTTAGTAAACAATTTTTAATAATAATGTAGTGATAATATAATATTTTTAATAACATTTAATGTTTTTTTAAAAAATGAAGTCATAAATTTTCTTATTTATTAATTTATTTTTTTAGTATGCTTAATTATTTTTTTTATAAAAATTTAAATTGCGTTTAATTATTTTTAACACCTTATGGTTTTTCAATAAATTTTAAAGAACATTTTATTTATAGTAGTTATAGTTATTTAACAATTTTTTTTATAAAAAAAATAGTTAATAAAATAAAATGCTAATAAACTTTTTTATTTTCTTTATTTATTAAAACAATTTATTATTATTATTATTATTATTAAATTGTTGAGATTAATGTATTTTAGTAAAAACATTTTTTTGTATAAATAGTAAATGTCGACAACAAATTAATTACTAGACATAAATATTAAAACAATAAAATGTTAAAAAAATAGTTTATTAACTTAATAAATAATTTATTTAATTTATTATTGTTGGAAAAATATTTATATAACAAATATATATATATATAATATATTATAGTAGTCTAACTAAATTAATATAAACAATAAAATTATATATAAAGAGCTTGGTGTTTTAACAATATTTTTACCATTTTAATTATTTTAAAAATTAGTATTATATATATACAGTATAAAATAATAATAATTTATTTTTTGCCTATAATGTTACGCTATATTATATTGTTAGCAATAATCGTAATGATTGTATCAGGTAATTATTTTTTTAAAAAATTGTTAAACTTTGTTAGAAGATTTTTAATTAATATTTTTTAATAAATAAAATTTAAGATTTCTACTTAGTATTTTGTAAATATATGTTTTTTAAAAAAATAGTAAATAATATATAAATTGTCCAAAAAAAATAAATATTATTGAAATGTTTAATTGCTTAAATTACATTAGAAATTAGGTGATATGATTAATGCTGATAAATTTAAAAACAAAATTATTTTAAAAATAAAAACATCTAAAAAATCTATACCCAATTATTGTTAATTTTAATTTTTTTAAATATATACATTTATAATAATAGTGATAACAGTGTATATATATTGTTTATATAAATAATATATTAATTTAACAAAAAAATAATAGTAAAATACTATTGATATGTTGTTTGAATGCATTTAATTGCTTAAAAAAATTACATTCAAATTAGGTGCTGATAGTGATAAACCTGGTAGTAGTGGTAGTGGTGATGGTAAACCTGGTAGTGGTGGTGATGGTAAACCTGGTAGTGGTGGTGATGGTAAACCTGGTAGTGGTGGTGATGGTAAACCTGGTAGTGGTGGTGATGGTAAACCTGGTAGTGGTGGTGATGGTAAACCTGGTAGTGGTGGTGATGGTAAACCTGGTAGTGGTGGTGATGGTAAACCTGGTAGTGGTGGTGATGGTAAACCTGGTAGTGGTGGTGATGGTAAACCTGGTAGTAGTGGTACTGGTAGTGGTAAGCCTGGCGATTGTGCTAAATGTATTGCCGGACGTATACCTGGCCAACAATTTAAAGATCCAAGACAAATTAGGAAAAAAGATATACAAATGGAAAAACAATATAAAAATGCTATCAAACAAAATGATCAAGGTAAGTGATACAGTATATATATATATATATTTATATATATATATAATTATTAAATACTAGTATATTAAATTATATAGTATATATATTAAATTAAGTATATATATATATATATGTAGTGTATACAATTTTTTTAAAATTTGAACAAAAAAATTATTTATGATTTTTTTTATTTGTTGTAACATTTTAGTATTAGTAAAATATATTTGCATCACTAATAGAAAGCCATGTATTAGTGAATATTGTAATGAAAATTATTGCAATGAATTCTATCAGAATTGTCTAAAAGGTATCGATTTCTATCCGTTTACTAATCATAAACCTGGTCTCGATATTTGTTCACAAATCGATAGATTAACATATCTACAATTGCTTGATAAACCATTTCCCTGAAAAAATAAAATATAACGTAGTACAATTGACTTGTTTATCATATTCATGTATTTATTATTATAAATTATTATACCTGGTACTATTAATATTAATAAAATTTTATAATATTTTTTGTACGTTTTTCTAATTTATTTTTAATGTTATAATTATAAATTACTATAGACTTATTTTTAAAAAAAATAATCTATCCATGATAACATTAGTGACAATCTATGATAGATAAATAATCTATTGTAATAAATCAATAAAAAAAATTTTAATTATAATTACAATAACGGTTTACATGAAATAAAATGCTTTTATTAGTCGATTTGTTAGAGCTATTATTATTTTTGTTGTAAAAAATATTTTAATAAGTTTTTTTTTATAAAAAATTTATTTTTTGAAATAATAATTTTATTGTTTTGAATATTGCCACCAAATTAACATATAAATACATAATAATAGCATAATGTTTATAATTATTTACTATATAATATTATATTTTATATAATTACTAATATCTAATAGAAAAATAAATTTAGTAAATTTAGATCAATTTTAAATTAGATTAATTAAAATTAATATTAAATTTATCTAAACACTAAAATCAACAATGAACAATAAATAAATTCTGGAAATTTTAACTTAATTAATATAAGAACAATCGTAATCATTATTATAGATTAATTTATCAATTTGTTTGATTATATTGTCAATTATATTACTATAATCATAGTAAGGTTGTTGTTGTTGTTGTTGTTGTTGTTGTTGTAAATGTTTTAATTCATGTCGATATAGTTCTAAATTATCTATAAGTTTATTAATTTTTGTTGAAACCAAATCTAATTTATCTGTTGAAAGTTTTTATGAATATAATATTTCATCAATATTTAATAAATCATTTAATTCTTGTCTATTTTGTTGTTGTTGTTGTTGTAATACTATATGTTGTTGTAGTCTATGTTGTTGTTGTTGTTGTTGTAATTGTTGTCGATCATGTTGTTGATCATATAGTTAATTTAGTTGTCTCATTAATTGATTTAATTGGTTTTGCATATAATTTATATAATAAATATAAAATAGACTAAACAAAAAAAAACTATCTGGAACTTTTGCTTATTATCTAATTTATTGAATTGTTTGAAATTATGCAAGGTAATTAAATTATAATTAATAAATTTAACTGGCTGATCAATTATTTCATTCATGATTTCTGCTATCAATTCATAATTATTTTCCACTCGTTTCATATTTCCAGCCAATTGTAGAAGATTTAGGAAATAATTTCTCAATTTATTACCATTAATGCCATTATATTCTAATAAACAGTTACTGAAAACAATAATAAAAAAATAAATATATTAAAATAAATTTTTTACTAAATAATACACTTTATTTGAAAATTAATACTTTAATTGATCATCATTTTGTTGGAAATGATCATTGTTTAGATTCTCGCAATACATACGTCTAGAAAATAAATGTATTTAATTTTGTTTAATATTTAAATTTTAATATAAATATTTTTATTATTTTTACTATTACAAATTATACTACTATTATATGTATTTATCATAATATTATATAGTTTTTGTAACTAAATTATATATTACATTTAACTATCAAAGAAAGTGAGAGAGAGAGAGAGAGAGAGAGAGAGAGAGAAAATAGACTATATATTTATCATTTTAACACTAGAATTTAAATTATCAAAAAATTTAATGAATATACAATATTAAAGATTTTAAATATTTTATAAATTTATACTTACTTCTCATTTTCAAATGAAAACAGATCCATTATTATTTTTCGTATAGTATAGATACAATTATTATGATTATTTTGTTTATCAATTGTCAAATTTGAAATGTTTAGTTTTACAAAACTTTTATAATTATCATCGGGTTTATAAGTTAAAAATATATTTTTAGCATTTAAATTACGATAAATGTTATGCAAATTATTTATACGCAAATATTCAACGCATTCGCACATCTCTAACAATATATGACTTGAAATATAATAATCATTAAAATCCATTACTTTATTTGATTTTCGTTTAAATACTTTTGTCAATTGTTTAATAATATCATTAAGACTTTGTGAACAAAACTCCATTTGAATGAATAGTTTGTTGAACTCAAACCACGCGTCCAAACAGTTGACAACATATTTTGACCGAAGTTTAAACAGTTGTTTAACTTTTTCATTGTAATCATTTACACCATAATCTGTAAAATAATCTGTTTTAAAAAAAACAAAATAATTAATAGTTATTCACTAGAATAATAGTAAAATAATGTATTAATAATATACCATTTAATTTGATAACTTTAATAGCATAAAATTTATCACAATTTTTGTCTAAAACTTTAACAAAATTACCAAATTTTCCCATTAATTCAATTGTTTGAAAGTTTTCTATTTTTTTAGGTTTCTCATTTATATAATTAAAATTTTTTTTATACAATTCCATATTAATTGTATTAATAGTTTTATGAAATTCATTAGCAATTAATTCAATTTCATTATTATAATAGACAGGTATTAATTTATTGAATTTTATGTTTGGTATATATTGTATTTCATAAAATTCATTATTAGTTAGTCTAATATAATTACTAAGTATTTCATCGACAATAAAATTACAACTATTATTAATTAGATTATCATTATTATTATTATTCATATTTCCTCTTTGATATAAATTTCCATTATTTGTTAGAAAATATGTTTGATTAATAAAAGTATTATTTGTATAATATTGATAATAATATGAAATACATTTAATATCATTCAAATCCAAAATTTTTTTAGGTTCTCTAATAAATAATAGATTTTCATTAATTTTATGTCCCAATTGATTGTATTGATTGTCACCCCAACTGTATACGTCACTATCCATTGTTATGGCAAATGAACAGTTAGTGTAACAATAAATTGATTTAATTTTAATACTGTTTTGAAATTTAATACGTTTTGGATTAATATATTCAACTTTTTGTCCGCAACCGCACTGTCCATACGTGTTATGACCCCATCCATAGACAGTGCCATCACTGCTGAGGGCCAGTGAATGATCCCAACCACTGGTGATATCAATAATACATTTATCGTTCAGACCTGTAACCATAGCTGGTTTTTTATTATTATTATTATAATATTTCCAACTATATATATGATTATCACATGTTAAAAATAATATATATTCATTAGTAGAATCAATTTTTTTAATATTTTTCTCATTTAAAAATCTATTTATATCATCTAGTTGATATATACCCATGCTTGTTTTGTCATATTTTTTACGTTTCATTGCATAATCATAATCTTGTTTGTTTATGTCATCGTCAGTTGTAAATATAAATTTTTTACTATTACAATGAATTAGCTCTATTTTATTTTCAACTATTGATATATAGACATAAATATCTTGAAAATTTTCCATTAGTTTTACAGCTATATAATTGCTAGAATTTTGTCGATAATATTCTACATCTATCGATAGTTTAATTTGATTCTCAGAATCGGCATATATATCGATTAAATTTTTATAATCTAAATCATCTAATTTATTAATTTTCATGTAAACATCATTAGTTGAATAACAAGCAAATTTATAATAATTGCCATATTTTTCAATATATTGCATATAGATATTATCAACATTAATAATAATAAGATTATCTATTAGTGTTGGTGTCCATAATTTATATAATAATTTGGTTTTAAATGTTCCGCATTGATAGACATTGCCATCCATTGTTAGAAAATATGTTAAAAAATTTTCATTATTAAATGATATTATTTTAACATTTTTTAAATACGTTATCAATTCTGGTTCGCTATAATAATTGGATTCTGCATCATATTTATGTCCCAATTGACTCTTACTATTATTACCCCAACTGTATACGAATCCATCACTAGTTATGGCAAATGAACAGTCAGTGTAACAATAAATTGATTTAATTATAATATTTTCTGGAAATATAACACAAACAGGACTTTCAATATATTCAGTTTGTCGTTTGCAACCGCACTGACCGTATATGTTATCACCCCAACCATAGACAGTGCCATCACTGGTGAGGGCCAGTGAATGATCCCAACCACTGGTGATATCAATAATATATTTATCTCTGAGGTATGTAATGATTGCTGGTTTGCTATACGTATCACTGGTATGTCTACCCAATTGTTTGTAATCATTTAAACCCCAGCTATATATATGTTGATCATTTGTTATACATAATGCAAAATCAAATCCTATAATAAATTTTTCAATATTTTTATCAAACAATTCAGGTATAATTTGTGGTTCATTGACTGTATTGTTGTTGTTGTTGTTGTGACCCAAACCAAGTATACCACTCGTGTTATCACCCAATGTATAGACCTTTTTATCATATCCAACAAACCAAACACTTTTGCCATTTGAATGAAATAATCTAATATTATCTTTCACTTCATCTGATAATTGATTACATAATTTAAATGAATTCAAAACTTGTATTTCAGACGACATTTTAGTCAATATAATGAATAGTATTTTAAATTAATATAAAATAATAATAAACACATTTTTTTATTAAAAAAAAGTTGTAGAATTATTATATTATTATTAACATTAATTTAATTTTAATTTTAATTTTCTATATATTATAAACAATATCACTTATATTATAGAGTAAATATTATTATTAAAATATATATTCAAAAAGTTAAACATTTTTTTAACATTTTCTTAAAAAATAGAATTAATATTTTATTATAAATGATCACAAACACTAAAATACTGATTAAGTTATAATATTTTTCTTTTAATAAATAGTTTCATAAAAAAATAATTGTTTAAAAACAGGTTAGGCAACTATTGCTAAATTACTTATAAATGTTAAATACATACAAAAAATAAATAACTAAAATAATAAAAATTTTTGACAATAACTATGACAAAAATTTATTAAATAACATAAAAACATAAGTAGTATTAAATATTATAATATATATATAAATCATATTTAATCAAACTATTTTAGTTACTAAATTATTTTGATAAAATAATAAATATTTTTATCAATTACTTCATAAAATTTTTTTATTTTTATCAATTGCTGCATAAAATTTATTATTTATATAAAATTATATTTCCAACAAAAAAAGAAATAAGTAATAAATACAGCAAAAAAAATTGTTATTTTGTAATTATTATAATGTAATGTTGTATAATTGTTGATAAACGTTTGACTAAAATATAATAATTTTTTTATCAAACTTAATATATTACTTATTATTGTGAATGTATATACTGTTTATAACATAACAAAGTAGTTTAATGGGTAATGGGATTATATTTATATTTTTATCAATAATTTTTTCAACTAACATTAAACTGTATAATTCTAGTACATATTGTATTTATTTATTAAGCACCAATAAAAATTAATAATAAATTTAATAATTACAAATTACAAAACATATTACAAAATTGTTATCAATCAAAACTTGTTATTATGATTTTTATTATTATTGCAGATAAATACTAGCAATTTCTGTGTTAATATAAAATATTTATAATTATATATACTAGTATATAAATATATATATATATATATATATATATATAATATTAATAAAATAAGTAAATACTATAATTGTTGTATTATATAATTATAATTTACATAACAAATTTTTTAAAAATAAGTAATTATTATTTTTTATTATAAGTAAGTATCTGGGACTAATCTATGGAGCTAAACAATTCAGATATAATTTTAATAAATATAATAATACTTTAAATAAAAAATACACATATTTTTAATTAATTGTTTTTGTAGTTTAATATATTTATATTTAAAAAACATCATTATTATTATTATTATACATATTATTGCTAATTGTTCTAAATAGTTATCAATCTAAATCTAAATGCTACAAATATATTTTATTTTATCAAAATAAATATTTATAATATTTGTATTTAGCAAAACATATTTTCATAATCAAACAAGATAAAAATTTTATTAATTTAATTATATATTTTAAACATAAATGTAATTTTAATTTATTTTATTTTTAAATAAATACTTTCAATTAACTAACAAAAATTATATAAATATTAATAATAATAATAATAATAATAATAATCTTTATTTAGCAAAATTGCAATAAATACATAACAGAGTTGTATTTATGATAAAGTTACAAATTGTTAATAAATTTTTTATAATCATTACAATTTCTCATATCAATATTAAGCGAATTATATAAATTTATACAATAATTAAAATAAAAATTATCAAACATTTCTATTCGTTTATCATGTTTTCTAATATATAAACCCTTTCGAGATGTTTCATAAAATTCAAAATAATTAAACCAATGATTTGGTATAGTTTTACATTTTGTTTTAATTTTTTGTATTAGTTTTAATGCATTAAATTCTCTTCGTTTATGTAATGTTTTTAAATCTAAAAATTTAAGTCTCTGTTCATAATTTAAGTGTGTTTTTTGGCATTTATAACAAATATATTTAGTAATACTTTTTTGTATATTTTCAATATTATCTGATTGTGTTTTATTTAAAACCCAATATTTAGATGAATACTCTATTATAGGTAATATATAAGTTTTATATAGTTTTAACATAGTTATATAATCACATTTTTTACATACAAATTTTAAAAATTTAAATTTAGAAAAAGATTTAAATACAATATCATTACAATGATCATTAAACAATAATTTATCATCATAAATTAAACCTAAATGTTTATAACTGGACACTGTTTCATATAAACACATTAAGTTATCATTATATTTCAATTTTTTAGATAATTTTCTTTTTTTAAAAATTAATTTTCTAATATTTTTTGGATACATTTGTTTTTTCACTATAAATAATTTTATTGGAAATACTTCATTAAATAATGTTTCATAATTTTTAACAATAGTATCATAAATTAAATTTATATCAATTTCATTAAAACAGATTATTTCCCAATTAATTTGTTGTAACTTATTATTAAATAATTCTAAATTATTATTAGAAAAATCTCTAATAATTTTATAATTAATTGTATTTCTATTAATATTATATTTAATTCGTATTTCAAAATATATTGCTTTATGATCACATTTTTTAGATAAATTTTCAACAATTTCTAAATTATTGAAATTATTTGTATTACAAAATAGTAAATCAATAATATTATTATTCGCTATATAAGTAGATTCAGTTATGTATTGATTAAAACCTAAACTTTTAAATAAATTATTTATTTTTGTTACAAACTTAGAAATATTTAAATATTTATAATTGATATTTAAATCTCCAATTAAATAAATAGAATTATATTTACTTGTCTCAAGTTTTACTAAATTTTTCAAAAATAAATTATAGATTATATTTTCATTATAATTTGGAGGTAAATATACTGTTATTAATAATAATTTAGTTTTAGATAATATCAACTCTACTGATATACATTCAAAATCATTAAACAAATCTCTTTCAATACATTTTATATTATTGTTTATTGCTATAAGAACTCCTCCACCTCTAGTGTCAGGGTCTCTATCTTTACGGTATATTAAAAAATCATTACTTATGAGATTATTTGTAATTTCTGGATATAACCAGGTTTCATTTAAAATAAAAATATCTAAATTTAATTCTATAATTTTAGCTTTTAATAATTCTAATTTATTGCACACACTTCTACAATTGCTAAAATATATTTTTAGTTTTTTATCGACACTTATCTTATTTGATAATTCAGGTAATTTTGCTGATAGTTGTTGAGAGGATTGAACCGAAAATCTTGAAATTCTTTGTTTTGTCGATAATTTGAATGATTTTTCAATAAAAAATCATTTTTATTATAAGTTTGATTTCCATAATTATTTTGTCTATAGTCATTGTTCATATTATTAGAGTATCTGTTATTATTTGACGGATAAAATGATTTAGTATTTAAACGACATTCACGGGATATGTGTCCAGATTTTCCACAATTGTAGCACTAAATATGGTTATATATTATAATTCAATATTGAAAAAAACTAATACATAATATGAAATTATAAATTTATGTATTAGTTTTTTTGTGTTGTTGAATAAATATTATTAGACATCATTTATTTTTATTATCGTTTAGTTTAATAATCATTACTTAATATATGAATTTTTATATCAATTATTCTAATAGTAATAATAATTAAAAAAATTTCCCAAGGTTAAATATATATATATATATATATATATATATAATACTAAAAACATGGCTTACATAATAATAACAAATATTTTTTATATACACACATAAAAACTAAATATACTATTTTTACTGTATATTCAAAAATATATATATATATATTACAGTATTATTATTAATACTTATTACTAAAAAAAAAATTATTATATTTAATAAAAGTAAATTAAAAATTGCTTAATTATTTTTATTATTTATAAATTTATATATTTAGTGATTAATATAACTTATTGAATATAACTAATACTGTATTAACTAATATAAAAAACTACTTATGAAAAAAATAATCTATAAAAAAGTATAATATAATAAAAAAATATTTTTTTTAATGATAATAATACAAAAAAAAGTGATTTATTTTTTAACTAAAAAAAACCTAAAATTATTTTTTCAATTCATAATCGGCAACAATCTGTTCAATGCGTTCAACAATTGCCCGACTTTTTCCATCAAAACTCTGGCGAATTCGTTCACCAATTTGTTTCATACGACCACTGAGTACGGTATCGGTGGCCAACTGGTGGACACTATCTAACAATGATTGGGCACTGACTGGTCGATTCAATCTATAGCCGAGTCCCGTATCGACAACACGCTGTGCATTATCAAACTGGTCGGCAAACATGGGTATCAATAGAACGGGTTTACCGAAATAAAATGCTTCGGTAGTCGAATTGTTACCGCCGTGAGTGACCACACAGTCGACTAGTGGCAGGATTGCTGTCTGCGGTAGAAACGGTTGTCCCCACATATTTGCCGGCAACGTATACTTGTCGTGTTGTCTACCCGTAGTGACCACAAACTTATTCGGTGAGTTGCCGAGTGTTTCGGTTATGAAACGCATTAGACCGGGATTGCCGCTGACCAACGATCCCAGCGAAAGTAGTATTAACTTTCCCGGTCTGGCCACCAGCCAGTCGGGCAGTTCTACTGTTTCATCAGCGGTGGTCCGTACAAAACCGTCGACACTCATCCAACTCGAGTCTAGCGGCTTAACTCCCGGCACATGTTTAAAGTCTAGTTCGTCGGGTGTCATATAAATCTTCAGTAGCCGGCACTTTGGCTTCAGTCCATCGGCGGCAATATGTTGGCCACTTTGGCCATAAAACCAGTCGTCAATTTTCTTGTGAAATTCCGATTCAGTCTGTTCGGGAAACGACGGATTGATTTGTCGGCGAAATTCAAGCCATTTGTCTTTGTTTTGGTCGTTAACTGAGTAACCTATTTGTGTTGATAACCACAAAAAAAACTAAACTATTATTATTGATTCGGGTATATCATACCCCACCCAACCCTATCCCCCACCCCCACAATCATCACCAACAAAAAAAACCTACCTGACCACGGTGGCGGCAATAGATCGGGTGAATTGCACTCATTATACAACTTTAGCGGTCCCTCGGAGTTCAACAAAATCCATGGCCTACCGCTGGTCATAATAGCCGGCGAACCGATATGTGTATCGCATACTATCAGATCTGGTCGGACACTGTCCAACACTGCCCTATAGTCTACTTCCAGACGTTGATAATCGTCAAACATATGGCCAAACATCGGACCAATTGTTTCGAGTATATCCATCGGATCCATATTCAGACATTTGTCGCCTAATCCGGCGAAAAACATTTCCATCAAATCTTCTTCTGTAGAAGAATGTTGTTCCGGTCCTATTGACTGCAGAATAGCTTCTTCGTGGCCATGTTTGGCCAGTCGACCCTTGAATTTCCTATCCAATGCAAACACTGTCCGATGGCCACCCGTATGGCGTAACATATCGGCCAGTCCGTGACAGGCCATGATATGGCCCATACCCTGACACGGAACGAATAGGAAAGTTAGCTTTTTTTTGTTGGTGTTGTTGTTGTTGTTGGACGACATATCTAACTATTAACTGATTATTAATTAAACTAAAAAAATAAAATAAAAAACTTTTTTAGTTTCTAAATGAAATATTAAACCAAAAATAATAAAATTATATTAACTTTTTTTTAAAAAAAAATTTAATTAAATAATTTTTTCTGTGTTTGATTTGAAACCTTTTATTTATATACTCTACTCTACTGTACAGTATATACATGTATATTGTTGTTATCAGTAGTATTTAAATATATATAAACTTAATCAATGAATAAAAAACATGGGATGGGGAGGGGGAAGGAAGGGAGGGAGGGAGGGATGGAAATTTTTTTAGTACACATAAAGCTATTTAAATTTAAACAAGTATTGCAAGTGATTACTAGCAATACTATTACTAAAAAACGTGTTGTTTTTTCAACAAGGTGAATAAACACAAAAATGATATTACCTGTACTTTATATTATTATTATTTGTTTAATTAATTAATATACCTTTACTTAAAAAAATATATATTTTGATTTTTTTTAATTTAAAAAATTACTAATAGAAAAAATATCTTAGTTATTTTTGTAATATTATTTTTTTAAATGTTTAGTATATTTTTTATAAGCTATTATTATACATTGTATTAATAAATAAATATTTATTATTATTATTTCGTTACTCTGATTATTATTATTATTATTATTAAACGCCCAGTCATTGTTATCAATTAATATTAATAATAATAAATCAATTTAAATGATAATAATACTTATTATTTATTTATTTATTTGTATATACGATATGATTAGACACACATACTTGACTACTAAGTGCTTAATATAATATTGGATTAAAATATATATTTATCTATAAAATTATTTTTTACTACATATATATTGATAAAAATTTTATTTTATTTTTTTTTGTAATATGATGATCAAACACACAAAAATATACTCTTGGTTAACTAAAATAATAATAATACTGTAATAATAATGTATTTAATAGAAAAAAAATTAAATTTAATTAACTTATTTTTAGTTATTTATTGTAAAAATATTTTAACTTATTGTTAATTTTATTTTTTTAATAAATAATTTATTTTCCACTCTAAATATCAATATTATTCAGTTACTCTAATTTATTATTATTATTATTATTATTATTATTATTATTATTATTTTGTTGGCTAAGTGTGCAACACAATAGTTGTAACAAAATAATAGATAGTAATTACTGTATACCTGTACTCACAGTATAATAGATACAAAAAAAATAATAATAACATATCTATGAATAAAATATTATTACAAATTTTTTTATTAGTAAAAATATATTGTATATCATATATGATATAAAAATTTTTTTAAACATTTTTATTGTAATATAATTGTAATTTACATTAAAAAATTTTTTTAAATGTTTAATTGATATTTAAACTAATATTTGGTAATTTTTGTTTGTTTTTTTATTTTTAGTGATAAAACTAATACTAGATATTAAATTTATTAAAATATTTATGATAAGTCATATTTTAAATTATATAATAAATACTGTTTGATAATATTGTGATAAAATTAAGTGTACTTTTTAAAAAAAAATTACATTAATTTAGCTAGATCAATTAAGTGCAATAATGTACTATTAAACTGTATCAAAATGTTTATCATGTTTTTGCATGTTATCAATTAAATTTTAAAAATAAAAATTATTTTATTAATTTATTTTGTTATATATATGCTCAATGTTTTATCATATTTTTAATTAAAAATTATTTAATGATTTTTTTCAATTTTAATTAATAATAAAAAAAAATTATTGTTTCAATTGGTTCAATAATTATTGGCCCGACTATTGGGCCATCAAACACCGTAACACGTCTAACACGTGTTCACCAATTAGTTTCATACGATCGGTCAGTTCGGGCGATCAGTGGCCAACCTGTGTGTGTGTGTGTGTGGACACTATCACAACAATTTAGTGGTCACTAACTAGAGGTCCCGTAGAGACAATTAAACTATTTATCGGGAATTTTTGCCGAGAGTTTAGCCGGTCTGACAACTAAGTCCTACAGTCTGTCAGAGCTAACCCCCCAATACCGGCGGCCAACCGGATATGTGTGTGATATCGCATACTATAATATCTGGTCGGACACTGGCCACGGGACTACTTGCCCGATCTCCGGCTACACTTCCCAATCGCTTACATAATCCATCAAACATATATGACGGCATCAAACAGTGGACTAATAGCCCTCCCCACCCGCCTCTGACCACATCTACGGATGTCATATATTGACAGCACTTGATGTTAAACACCGATACTGATGAACACCTGTACAGTGCAGCCCATATATATATATATATATATATCGGGCCAGACCATGACAGGCACCGATTTATGGCCCCCTCCCCACCGTATACCAGGTGTCGGTCCAAACAGCACTGTTAGCTATCGTGTTGTTGTTGTTGGACGACATCTCTCTCTCTCTCTCTCTCTCTCTCTCTCTCTCTAACTAACTATTATTTTAATTAAAAAAAACAGTAATTAACAACTGTTTTATGTAATATTAAATAAAAAAAAATTATATTTAATTTTCTATTTTAATTAAATACATTTTTTTCAGTTGATTTAAACTTTTTATACACAGTCTAACAGTTGATATGTGTGTTTGAAATACTGGTACCAAAACTACAACAATAAGTCAATTCAAATGATAGTTATTAGAAATTTAAAAATATATATATATATAATTAAATAAAAATTATACACAACTTGAATAACTACGATAATAACAGTGTTTAATAATATAATTGATTAATATATATATAATAAAAACTATATATTAATATATTTCACTAAACTGAAGTAATAATATATATATAATATATATTCAATATATGGTATATACAGTATATAACTGATTATTTTATTAAAAAATCAAAATATATGATTGACTGAAAGTATTACTATTTTTTATATTTAATTAGCTGACAGTTACTAATATTTCTATTGATTTATTTCGTATATAAAATAGCTAAAATATAGATTGATTTTTTAATAAAAAAATTCAATACAATATTTAGTATTTATTTTTATGTGTATAAAATTTCAAGGTTTAATATATACACAAAAAAAATAAATAAATATACAGTTATAGAGTATTTATTGTTTAAATTAACACATTATGTAACTTATATTTATTAACTACTGTTTGATAATAATTGATAATTTTTGTTTGTTTTTAGTGATAAAAACCTAAAACTAGATATAAATTTTTTCAAGTATTTATAAATATATATATTTCAAAAAAAAACTTAAATTATATATCAATTATTATTTAAGTAATAATGTGATAAAATTTAGTATACTTTTTAAATTTTTTTTAAAAAGTGATATCAATTGATTTCATTGTTTTTATTAAACTGTTAAAATGTCTATTTGTTTTTTTTTGTTTGTTATATTTTATCAATAAAAAAAATTATTTATTTTATTTATTTATTGTTAACTTATTTTGTTATGTAATAAAAAATTAAATCAAAATAATAGTTTAATATAAGTAAAATATTTGATTTTTTTATATGAATTCTTAATTAATTGGTGTTAAAAAATTAGACACAACTTGTATAACCAAATACCAGTGATTAATAATATGATTGATTAAAATATATTAATAAAAAGTATATAAATATTGCAATAAACTAAAGTAATAATATTTATATTATATGGTATATTACATAATTAGTACAATACATATGGTATATATATATATATATATAACTTAAAATAATCAGTAATTTTTAAAATGTAAATAATATTTATTGGCAATTAATTGCCGTTAAAATTTTTGGTCCAATTGAGTAAACGTTTTATATAAATAGGTATTTCACTGATTGTTACAACAGATAAACCAATCCATAAGCCAATAGTACCACACATTTCATAGATAAGTGAATAGATATCCATTGATAACTGTTCAGTGATTTGTGGCTTTAATGTGTGTTTCGGTATTATATTAATTCCCGTATATTTTAGTCCCGTCGTTGACGACAACCCGACTGTTGTTGCGGTCATATCCGGTAATATTCGGAAACATCTTTTCATAAATTGTTTCATACATTTTGTTTGAAAACTATTATATAAATCAAATATATTTTCATTGCTCTGACAATTACTTATCTCATAATTTGTTGATAAATCTATTTCATGTAAAGTCATTGGAAAACAACTATTGGTTATTAAATATTGATTTTCGATACAATTATCAATTTTTTGTCTAATTTTATTTTCATAAAATATCTGATCAAATTGATTATCAATTGATTCATCTAAACACTGATCATTAGGTGTCGACAACAGTTTGACGACTTTAGTCGTATACATAATATTTGTTAAACTATTTGTTTTGATATTAAATTCATTTTTATAAAACCAATCATCAAATTTAGTGCTTAATATAAATAATGAATTTATTAATTTATATCTAATTAATAAATTTTTTAGTTTATGTTTTTTATTAAATAAAATCGACTTAATAGTTGAATTAAATAAAAAATTATCATTGAATACAATGAGTGATAATAATTTTGTCGGCAATTTTTTTTTAATTTGAATTTTTAATGTTATTTGTCTTTCTTGGCAATCAATATATGATCCATCAGTAAACCAAAAACGACAATCAATTAGACATTCATAGATCATTTGTCTAAATAGTTGTCTAATTTTAATATTTATAGTTTTTTCATAACTATTTATATGTCTATATATATGGTTTAAATCTTTATCGATGTCATCATTATATAATGGGATAAAAAAATTATTTGGAGGTAAAATAGATATAGAAATTATTGGTAATCTTATATTGTGTTGAAATTTTATTTGTGTTATTGTTTGATATGATTTATAGATTAAAATTATCGACAATATATGCCAACACATTATTAGAAAACATATTAGAAATATTAAATTTTTAATATAATTATAATAAGTTTTGATATTATTAATAAAATAAATATTAAATTTGATTTTTGTTGATAATCTATAGATTTTTTTATTAAATTTCTTTTTTAATAAAAACATTATTGATATTATTAATGAATAACAACTGTATCCCC